TTTTTCTTGAAGGACATTTTCTAAAAAACTTAAATTGGGGGACATTTCGTCAAGGACATTTTCTAAAGGACATCTGGGACAGTTACCTTTAATAGTAAGTATTTTTAAAAATAAAGAAATCTATTTATTTTTTTTTGTGTAGAATTGGTTGCACAACTTGGACAATAGTAAGTATTTATGAAATTAAAAAAATTTATTTTGTTTTCGTTTAGATTTGTTTCAACGACTCCTCAAATTGAAGATATGAATTTTGGCTCAGAGTAAGTTTTCCTAAACCATTTTCAAGGGTTTAGGAAAGGATTTATTGGCTTCCTAAACCCTTTCATATACTCTGTGGAAGGGTTTAGAAAAAGGTTTCTTGACTTCCTAAACCCTTTTAAAGAGTTTTTGAAAGGGTTTATTGATTTCCTAAACCCTTTATTAGACCCTTTAAAAGGCTTTAGGAAAATTCTACATAAGGTAAAAAGGGTTTATTATACGTTGCACTTTCATCAACCCTTTTTGGGTTTATTATTCTACGGATTTTTTTTACAGTGTAGGAGACCATCTACATTGTGCTTGAGTAAATTTCTTTGAAAGATATGCGATCGGTGTATCACCATCTGGATAAATTTATAATAATACTGCACCGATTCCCTCATCAGATGTGTCAGTTTGTACTTTAAAAAGGAATCTATTATTTGGCAGTCGTAATACCAGATCAGTTGTAAGATAATGTTTAAGTTGTTCGAATGCTTTAGTTTCTTCATTTGTTAATGTAATCATAGTTTTTTGTCCATTTTTTTGTTGAGTTCTTGTAGTTGGAACAAATTTTCTAAGTGGTTGGGCGATTTGAGAAAAATTTGGTATAAATTTTCTATAATATTCAGCTGCTCTAAGGAATTTGCAAGCTTCATCTGGAGTTTGTGGTAACCTTGCATTCAGTAAACCATTAATGTTATGAGGGCTTGATCGAATTTCACCATTGTTAATTTGATGTCCAAGATACTCTGTTTGTGTTCGAGCAATTTCCCATTTTTCTAGATTAAGACGAAATCGAGCATTTTTTAATATTGTACAAATTTCATTGAGATGTAATAAATGTTCTTCCAATGTTTTAGAATATATAATTACATCGTCAATAAAAGCTAATGCATATTTCCATCTTGCGGGTCCTAATATGTAATTAATTACACGTTGAAAAGTTGCGGGTCCGTTGGTAATTCCTTGCGGAAGTACAGTAAATTGATAATGATTGTTACGAGTTGAAAATGTAGTTTTTGGTCGAGCCTCTTTAGATAGAGGTACCTGAAAATAACCAGATTTAAAATCGAATTTTGTGTAATACATTGCGTCACATAATTGATCAAATATTTCATCAATACGAGGTAATGGAAATGCATCTTTAATTGTAATAGCGTTTAATCGTCGATAATCAATGCAAAATTGCATTGTTTTGTCTTTCTTCTTAACAAGAAAAATGGGTGAAGACCACGGAGAAGCTGATTCTTCAATTTGACCACAGGCTAATAATTTTTTTCATTCTTGAAATTTAATATCTTAATCTTTATATGAAGCGGGATATTGTTTCGAGTAAATAGGTGGATGATCACCAGTTTTAATTGCAGATTGTGAAGGTATATTAATAAATGATGGTGTAGGATCAAATAATCTTTTATTTCCCCATAATATATCTTGAGTTGCTCATTGATGTTTTCGATTTTCTATGTCTAGTCGATTCGAGTATTTGTTTTCGAATCTGTTCGGAATACCATTCTGCTCGTAAGTGTTTTTGTAAATCATTTCCAGATAAAAAATATTTATTGCAACGGCGACAGTGAGTATTTAGGTAGGTTGAATACGAGTTGTCTTTTGTATTTAAGACAGCTCTGCTGTTTAATTTTTTCGAGTTGTGAGAGAATAATTGAGGATTTTTATTTAAAAACAAATCACTTTTTGTTGGAACTTGTGATGTTGCATATATCGAGAAGGTTTTA